TGGATTTTAGTCTTTCCTCTGCTTTTTTACTATTTAAAGGCATTCAGATATCACAGCCATTTGCTTAACGATGTCACAACCAAAGACCTGTTTCATGTAACAACAAAAACAAAGTGTTATAATTCTGTCATTAGTGAAAAAGGACATAAATTACATATTCTAGTTATTGTCTTTTTTGACGGCATTGCTAATTCTCTTTCAATACTTGCACTGTAAAGGTTAGAATATAAGATTATAATGTAATAATTAGGCAAAAATATTTACAATCTCTTGAAAGTCATGCGCTCCATGGCTCTAATGTTTATCAGTCATTTACTGTCTACTGCTCCCCTGTACTGTACAAACAGACAGCAAACTACAGTATATTCATCACATATTACAACTAAAAATAAATCAGAATTTAGAGGAAACACTAATCTAAAGCCAGCTGTTAGGGACAACCTGTTCCATCGAACACAAAGGGAGCTTTCATGGTGTTTTTCACTTCTTGGCCTTTCCCTGAGCAGCAACGGCCTCCATGGCTTTGCGTACAGTCTCCTCGTCTCCAAGGAATTGCATTGGCTTCACTGGCTTCAGGTTTTTGTCGAGCTCATAAAGGATAGGGATCCCTGTTGGCAGGTTCAGCTCCATGATGTCTTCATCTGACATTCCTACAAAAAGAACAGACAAAATGTCATTTTGTACAGAATTACTGCAATTGCTGACAGAGTGATTGACTACAGGGTACTCCCCAGTTCTCTGTATAACCATATCCTGTTTTGTTTTGTTTTTTTCCTCTAGCCTAGGCTTTTAGCTATAGCTATATTCCCTCATTAATGTCTGTTTATTTTATCTTTCGGTCCTTAGGAGCTTATAATAACCAACTAGCCAAGTGGAACACCCTTTTGTTTGGAAGGGGGGCCTTAACTTCTTCACCCTTGATGCCTAGGGGGGACCCTTAATTTGCTTTTCTTTTCTTTCATATTTAAAGCCATCCTACAGAACAAAATAGAATAGGTTCGTGAGGGTGCTCTCTACCGATATGGCCTACCAGGGCTGGAAAAAACCCTAACCTATTGTAAAGATTGTCAAAGCACATCTTAACTGATATATAGTGAAGTGTCAACACTCATCATCAAAGGTACATGGGGAGGAAAGGAGCTAAAATGAAGTGCAGAGACAGTCTAAATAACAGGAATGGCGTCTGTGCTGAAAATGTAAAGCTAATGCAGAAGTACCTTAACTTTAAAATGACTGTAACTGCATAACTGTTTATGCTAAAGACAAAATTCAAATGATTGTGGAAAGAAGAAAAGACAAGCTTTACGGGGATATTTATGGTATCATAATGGA